CCCTAAAACCCTAAACCTAAACCGTACTTAACTAGGCCTTGATGTCTTCGGCATCGGACGAGGAGGTTCAAGCAGACCATGACAGAACATCTTGGATGCCAACTGCGTTGCCATGAACCCCCAAACCGCGGAAGCCGAATAAAGCAACACAAAATGAGACGATGCCCCTGTAAAGCTCTAGGATAGAAGCTCCTACACCCAACAGCCCCGAATCCACAAAGGCCCGAGAAGACTCAGCCCCATGCGATACTCGTCCTGGAGCGCGGAGAGGCTTTCTGCATTCGAAGCCACTACCTCGACATGGGGCCGTCGTCTGTCTTGATATGTAAGGCCGCTGCAGTATTCAGACACATGTTGCTTACTTGATTAGCGAGATGCCGAGGACGACGACGACGAGGAGGATGAGGAGCAGGAGAGGCGCATGATGATGGTGTTGGTTGTAATGGCGATCGAGATAGTGACGAAGACATGCCGATAAGGACAAAGATAACTGAAAGAAGCATCAGGACGGTGTGGACGGTGAAGAGCACCGCTATGCACGAGGTGTAATCATTACTAATGCTTAGGCTGAAAGCTTATGTGTAAACGGTCAAACTGTCAGCTGCTGTCGCTGCTGCTGCTGCTTCTGCTGCCGGGCGCTCCTCCTCGATCCTCCTCCACCTGCTTCTGCTGGCAGGCAGCAGTGATGGCATTTTGCGTGCCACATCAAATGCCAAAAGGATATGAATTGTGCCCTTGAGCCGACTGTGAGTGATTCATTGCCTAACCCGACAAAATAAATAGCCTCTTTCTTGTTCTCTACAGACCCTGGGGCGCACAGAAAAAGCACAGCTCAAACACAAGCCGCCTCACCCAAAACGCAAGGTCTTGGATTTACTTAGGCTCAAGCTTGAATTCCGCTTCAGATCGCCAAACTAAACGGGCGGTGGCTCTTCACCGAAACTCACGCGGCGGGAACCGTTCGTTAAAACACCCGGCATCCCTGGAACACTGTATCATCCGAGCCAGATAGATGCAGTTCAACTGCGAAGCCCTCCGAAACACTAGGATACTGAAATAAAAAAGCCTCCAAACAGGGACGAAACCACAGCACGAGTTACTGTACATCCATTAACCCCGAAACAGCTCCATCGAGATAGCCTCGGAATAGGACTGCCATCGGGCATTTTGACCTGGGGAGCTGCGGAGGCACCGGGGATTGCCCAATCAGGCTCTCGACATGCATGGATAACACCTGTAGTCTCCATTGTAGTTCCTTTTTTTGGTTTAACCAAATATATATATATATATATACACACATATATATATATATATATTCAGAATTTTATAAGGTGTCCCCAAAAAGGAACTACAATGGAGACTAAAGGCAGGACGAAGGCTCCCAGGGTTTGGGGCTTTGGGGCTCCGGATTTGAGAAAGCTACCTTAAGAACCCCAAAACCCCATTTAGGGTTTAGGGTTTAGGGTTTAGGGTTTTGGGTTTAGGGTTTAGGTTCTTATTATAAAACCCTCATATGGAATTTATAGGGACCCTGCAAAAAAGTAGGTTTTGGGTTCTTAAGGTAAGCCCGAAACCCTGAAACATCGACAAACCGGGCTGTGAACTGGTCAGCCTATAACCTCAACTCACACCCTCAGCACA